CCCCCGACCCCGGCCAGTATAAACTCAATGGAAAACTATATCAAGCAAGCAGCTTAACTTATTCAACTTTCTAGCTACACACTGAAGTAAAATCTGACACAGATTAGAGAAAAAGGTGATCTGAATATCAGGAAATAAACATGCACACTATCAGTTAATAGAGAAATATCACATTGCAAAGAAGCAATATTATGTTTCTTATATGTAATTATATTGAGGTTAATCTATTGTGTCTTAGCAAGTGGTGGCATGTGGATGGTTTTGCCTGGGACCAGAAGCTAAAAAGGACTGTGCCTGGTCAGTACATGGATGGGAGATTTAATGGAATTCCAGCACCCTAGGCTAGATTGAAAAATCAAAAAACCTCCCAAGAGAAGACAGAGGCAAACCACTTTTGTGTTGTGATCATAAAACTACACGGTTATGTCCATGAAGTCAGCTAGTCAACTCAGAGACTTGACTTGCTATTTTTATCCATGAAACACAAAGATACATTGCTGATCTATGGTGTATTAACTTTTGGCACAAACACAGCATCTATAGCTCTCTTTAAAAACTCTTTAAGCAATTGGATCACAGAAATGCTGGAGTCAGTCTGATCCAAGGGATATGTATTTCTTACCAAGGATGGGAATATTTTTTTATAACTGGAATTCATATTTTCATAATCATTTTCTTGTTCCTTTGTCCCAACAAGCTCTGGAAGATAGCATCTTCTGCAATTGATAAGCTACAGTTGTATGTCTGCAGAGAGATGGCATCTGTAGAGAGGCAAATAGCAATGCATGTCATGATATCATGGCACAAATCATGTGACTTATATATTTGTGTCAGGTGTCATGACATCTTTACACAATTGTGCCATTTGCATGATAATGTCATGATGCATATGTTAGCATTTTGACATCATTGTTTGCTACCAATAGCCATGTCCTAACTCTAGCTACTACATGTGAAGTTGGCTCAAAACTCTACCATTCCCCCTTCTTGTTCTCTCTCTCTTGGACTTTCATCTTATTGCCAGATGAAAGATTCTAAGACATGTGAAAGCTCACACTGATTGTAAAAGTTCAGTTGGCCCAGTCTAGCCTAGTGTGTCATTTAATTTTTTTCCCCTCTTTATGGCCAACATGGTGAGTATTTCTTCTTGGCCAATTTCTAAAATTTTCATGGAGAGCATTATATCTGTAATAGTAGTATTGCTTTCCATCAAGCTAACATTTAAAAAAAAAATCTTGGGTCATAGTGACAAAGATGTAAGTGATAGATAGAAGCTAGAGAATTCTAAAATGTATCCTTTCCTAAGATTAATTATTATGGAGGAATATGTATTAAGAATTGATTGGCTCTTTTAAAAACATTTTTGGTCATTCTTCATCAAAGAGAGATTAAATAATATTTTAGATTATTTCCAGTGTTTTACAAAATGTAAAATGCATCTGTTGATAAATGGAATGTTGCCTTTGATAGAAATGTACATTCTCGATGTCTGGACTTTATTATCTGAAATGTGTTAAACATGCTCTCTTTCTAGGGTACAGTGCTTCAATAATTTGGTGATTCACTTGCGATGCAGTGGTAAATGTAAGTTTATGAAAAATAAAAAAAATAAAAAATTCAGCATCAAAGGTAACTGTTTATGTTTTTCCCAATATGTTTTCTGTTTATATTGTGTCAGTCTGCCTTTTTTTCTGCTGCATTTTTCATGTCATTTTTTTAGGATTCTTTAGAATTTATTCAGAATTTATGTTTTTGAGCATATATTATTGTTGCATTATTTTCACCCATTTCTTTATATTTTTATTTATAAAAATATAGGTAGCATTTAGTGTGTGTGTGTATGAGAGGAAGAGAGAAAGAAAGAGATTTCATTGCATATTTTCATACTGCTATTATAATAAGTCTGCCATTTCTCAAGCTGACCAAAATCCAGATAGATATATTACATAGGGCAAAAGATCTATTACATAGTTTACTGGAACCTTTTTTTTTTTCCCCCTCACAACTTTACAGCTACTTTTTATTTCATTCTTAGGGTATTTTGGAATATGATTAAAATTTCTTTGATGCTTTTGACTTTAAATAGTGTGGAAACATGGCAGAAGGTATATTGATATTGTTTACCTTACAATACTCTTCATTATTCTAAAAAAAAAAGCCTATGGAAGGAGTTTCATAACAACGGTTAATATAAGATGATCTTGAAGTATATAAAACAAGGGAGGCTGAAAATTGCTATAGTGTTGATTATACAGTGAAATAACCCTCAGCTGTTATACTAATCTTTCACCTTACCTTGACAATTTTCACTGACATTTTCTTAATACCTTGAATTTCAAAAGCAATATCTTTTTCCATTAGTGAGTTGGAATTGTAATAACAACAACAAAAACAATTACAACAGAATACATTATTTGCCCAGTTATAGTTTTAACAGAAAATAATAATACAGGATAAGTTAAATGTGCTACCCTAAAATAATTCCCAAAGTTAGCTGACAGCCTTGAGTTTGGGGAAATCTTCAACATTAAAGAAATAAAGGATTAACTGTCATAAATATTTAGTGAAAATGTTGCTTTGAGGGTTATATCTATATAGATATATGTGTATGTGGGCTTAAATATGTTTAGTCACCTTAAAGATCAACATATATTTCTATACTGACCTAAGGAAAAATATATATATATTCAAGAAAAGAATATTCAAGACTATTACTGAGTAGGTAAGATTAGCATACCTGATTATTCCTCAAAATGCATACTTTTAACTTTTTATTTTCCTTGCCTATAGCTTGTGGAAAAAGAATGATTGCCCAGAAATATAGACCGAAAATTGTTGGTGGTTCTGATGCTCAGGAAGGTGCTTGGCCTTGGATGGTCTTGCTATATTTCAATTCCATGCCAACCTGTGGGGCTTCTCTTATCAACAATGAATGGCTAGTCACAGCTGCACATTGTGTATATGGGTAATTTTATTTCCAGAATTCTACAGTTCTTGTGTTTTATCTCTTAATCTATTTTTTTTTCAGACTTGTTTGGTGTCAATATTTATCTGACCTTTCATGGAGAGTTAAAAGATAAAGTAGTGACAAAGTATATGTAGCCCATGCCTCTCTAATAATATATTATAAATGTATAGTATCTTATCTGATATTACACTACAGTGAAGATCAGCAATATGGTTGCATGAGAATCACATTTAAAGTTGTTGTATCATTCAATTCAGCAGGAGTTCACTTGAATTATTGCTATTATTATTAGTACATGAAATATCACCCATTTTTTCCAAAATAATATACCAAATGAATTAAAAAATAAAAATAAAAAACACCTTTCGTAAAAAAGACTTTACCTTAAGACAGGACTTAAGGAAAGCACCATGACTATCATTGATAGTTGCATTATTGGATAAAACCCCTTATGGGATAAAGTATAAATGAGGTGAATAGTTTTAGCCATTCATAAATGGCTGCTAAAGTGACATTAAAGCAATAATTCTATCACTCTGTGGTATACCAAAAATGTATACTACTACTACTACTACATTAGAATATCTGCAAGAAATACTATTTGCCTGCAAGCAAGAACTGGTAGGCTGAACTGAACTGTCCACAAAATAGACAGTGATAGAAAATGAAGAAGCTAAAGTGCTCTGGGACTTTAGCATTAAAACAGACAAGCACCTGCCACACAACACCCCAGACTTAACAACTGTTGACAAGAAAGACAAAAAACTGTGGAGTCCATGGGGTTCTCTGAGCTTGGTTGTTTTCTTGCAAACGTTTTGTTATCTAGCTAGGTAACATCTTCACTGCTAGAATGGAGTGGGGTTTGCTCTCTATTTAGCAGCCACTGTATATAAACAGAGAGCAAACCCCACTCCATTCTAGCAGTGAAGATGTTACCTAGCTAGGTAA